CCATTTAATGATTTCTGTATCATTGTACAAATTGAAAACTGGGCTATAGATGGCTCGTAAGTAAATAAATCTACCTTATCTTGTCATAATTATGGGTTAAATGTTTAGACATATTCCACTAATCACTTATATACTTTCACTATATTCCAGAGTTTATACTTTGTATATTATATGAATTGTTCTTTAGCAGGAACAGGAATACCTAATCAAGCAGGTAGTCTTCATAAAAGTGCTCTAGATATAACTTGCTAGGATCTTGCATGATCTATATTTAAAAAAAAATAAAGATGGTGTTTTCAGTTTCATTTGAAAAATATTCACATTGTCAGATTAAAAATGCAGATGTCATCAGAGCAAACATCTCCTTCTGGAAATTCTGGAATAGGTCAGGACAGGCAGGGCAAATGTCTTCTAAACCAAAGCCATACTCTGCCATATCTCAGGAGCTGAATATCCCTAGCTTCAGATTATTCCCAATGTTTGATGCAATCAGTTACCTGAACCAGAAATCATCAGGTTACTCCTTTCCTTTGACCTTGGTTTCCTGTGAGATCTTTTCATACTCAACTAAGTTATGCAATAAAGCTGCTGGCCACATATTGCTTTGGCCCTTATCTTCCTGAGAATACCCTCAGCAGTGACCAAAATTAGGCCATTACATAATTCCTTCACCCATGTTCCCCTTCCCTCCAGATACGGATATGTAAAAGAGACTGACGTAGCTGGCCCAGCAAATCGCAAACCTCTGCGATGGAGCCTTTGTGGTCCAGACAAATATTACCAGCCATGATAATATCTGAATTGGATGCCAGTCTCAAGCCCTCTGTTCTCCTTCCTGCCTGTTTAGTAGAAACGTGTCTCTACTTGTTTCCTTTCCAGCTGTGCTCCGTTTGTTCTTGGCTTCTACACACACACCATGCTGCTTTCACTCCTCTGCACTCCTTTCCCCTGCACCTCTCCTCTCTTTTGTGCCGTGCACCCCTTCCTCTTCTCTGTCTGCTTGGCCCTTGGAATGCTGATCTTGCACAGTAGTTGCACAGGCCTTGTGATGCAGTCCTGGGGGTGCCTGCTGGGAGCGCTCTGGTTGCATTCCAGTCACATCTGACCTTGGCCTTTCTCCACTGATCTTGTTTGCAGTGATCCTATGAGTTTCTCATGTCCTGTACCCCCCTCACCCTGTAATGTCTCCTCCTGGCACTTTCTCTTTTTCTTTCTAGTCTTTCTACTGTTGCTGCCTGATCTTTCCTCCATTGTCAGCTTTGGCAACTCCAGTCCAGTGCCTTGTCTTGTGGGTGTGCTGTTTCTCCCTTACTAATGTTTGTGTGTGTGTATGTGTGTGTATTTCTCTCTCTTACCCACTTCTTTCACCCTGTTTCTGTACTATCAGGAGGCACCATGCAGATCCTGTGATAAAAGACATTCTTCCTTTTTAGTCTTTCTGTGTCTCTTTGCTTTTCCTGTGACTCTGCAGCATTCATGAACTCCCAGACAGCTTTGCAGCTGTTTCAGTATAGTGTGGTTGCAAAAATAACTTTGGATTTGTCATAATTTCTGACAACTGATCTCACACATATACTTACACTTTTTCTGTATTGCATACATGCACACACACGCACACATACTTATTTTTAACCTTTTTTTTCTTCAGCTGTTTCAGTCTCTTTTATGCATGTGCTAGTCTCTATTCCAGGTATACACCAGCAGCATGTCCAGTTCTTTGCATGTGTCCAGTCCATCACAGAGTATAACCTTCCTGTCTGAAATTTCCTACTGCTTGATCTGTCCTTCTGCGTATGTCTAACAAGCTTGAACCCGCCCCTGTATGTTATTTGTTTATTGATCTATTTCTTGATAGCGGTATTTTTAATTCTGTAAGGATAAGTGTGTGTTTGTGTGTGCGCGTGCGTGCGTGTGTGTGTGTGGTATATCTGCATGTTTGGATACCTGGAGATGTGCACGTGATAAGCCATTGCAGCAGTTCATTGGTGCATCTGACACTTTGTATTACATAAAAAGGGATTTGTATCTCATCATTGTCTTGGAGGTTTTCTCCCTTAGTCAGCATCTGTCTGATATTATTTGTCTGTCACTGAACAATTTCTCTATGTGTATTTCCTCAGTTCTTTCTGTATATCTAACTGACAACTTCAGTGAATCTCTTCTGCAGATAAGATTTAAGCCCGGTGTTGCATACCCCATTGGGTGGTTGAAAACCACGGGCTTCAGGCTTGCCACTCACTCTTCAAGCCCTTCTCTAGGTTGGAAGGCCTGCCCTTTTTGGAGCTCCTTTCGTAACATACGGGAGGAGCCCTCGGCATGTATACTTACAGCTAGCTCTGCAGCTTAGGGACAAAGGTTATTTTTGCATGCATGGCCGCTATACTGGAAGGCCCCAGCAGGAAGGGGTGGGAAAGGCTCTGCCTGAGACTATAGAGAGTTGCAGCGCATCAGAGCAAATCCAGTTGGCTTAGATGGAAAAATAATCCCATCATCCTTAAGGAAGCTTCATAGGTTCTGATAATTTCTAAAAAAATCTGCAAAGAATGGATGTCAGTCACAAACAGAAACTACCTCCCCTGTGCCATTCTTGGGCAGATCCAGCCCTGTGGGTAGTCACTTCTTGATTATGCAAACGCTTTTAGAGCTTTTCACGTGCTAGATTAATAAAGGTCATTGCTTTTTCAAACTCTCTTTCTGATATTTTTAATTATCTACTGTGACTACAGAAATCGACAGTGTCTAAAGTCATTCCTAGTTCCTCCCAGCACCAGTCACTGAGCTTTATGATGGGTGAGCATTTATGCCTTGGTTAACATTCAGGCCCCAACATTTTCCATGCCACTATAGGAATGAATTTGCTGTACCTCTGGCAACCAGCAACAGGGTTATTTCTTTAATATTTTGTTCCTTCCAATAGTAGGGGCTAGAGAAAAAAAATCTACCACCATTCTGTGTTGCACTTTCCCTGTCTCTGAGGAAGAATATAGAGCACCACAAATGGTACACAGTAATAACTGTGGATAATGGGAGTGCTATAAATATTTTAAATATATAAAACTCTTCCATAAAATTCACACAAGGGGCCTTGAAAGAGCAGGTTTCTGGCCAAGTAACATACTGCAGACCGCACGTCCCTTCACATGAAAATTTAACACTTAAAACAAAGGATATCTACCCTAGGTTTGTTCAGAGTTCAGCATTTTCCTCACACTCAGAAAAATTGGAGTGGATCTTGAAGGGGGCATGTTTTCAAGCTTTCTACCTCTAAACATAAAATGTATTTAAACTGGAGATGAATCTCATTTATTTAACTGGGCACTAAATACTGCATTTGTTCTTCAACTTGTCCCAAAATGTATTGCATAAATTCTCTTCTATGTCTTTGTATATCACTGTGTGGATCTTGATATGTCTTTGTTATATGTCCAGCATCTGGAAATTGTAACCAGCTTTCTCATTCTGCATCCATTGCCCCAAATCATTTTTCAGACAATGAGATATTTATGTTTCTCCCTCTATAGATGCCCTTTTCACATTCTACTGCCTACCAGTTCTTCTTTTTTTGTTTCCTGGCTCACTTCTCTATCCTAACATCCCAACTTTCTTATGCCAGGTGTAATAATATGCCATCCTGACTAACTGAAAATGTTAGATTCTTGCAAGTGTGCTAAGATTGTCAGAAGGAGAGGACCACTGATTAAAACAAAAGCCAATGAAAAAGCATACTTCATGTTTGAATCTCCTGATAGGAAGCAGAGCACAATAGAGAAGGAGGCTAGTTTTTAATATGCTTTGGTGAATCTGTAATTCAGATTGGGTGTGTCAGACATATGGAATAAGTAATGCTATATGGAGATTCACACTGAATGTTTTACTAGCAGGTGAAATAAGTTCTTGTCTATACCATAGATGTTGCTTCTCAGCTAGACTGGGAGTCCATAGCTATGCTGTTGTGGAGAGACAAAGGAAGCCAGAGATCACCAAGATGTGTTTGGTTAGCAATTTCCCTCTCTACTGCAATAGAAGTAAGCTGGAAGGCAGTTGCTACATATGCTACCATTGATACAGCACTGTGAGACATAATCAGTGGATGATAAGATAATACTGCAACAGCTTGATTCATCTGGCAAAAAGTAGACTGCAATGCAGTGGTTTAACTCAAGTTGTGTCATGTTTTGGACTACAGATATGATCTGTCACAGACAATCTATCCTAGCTTTTTGACTCTGCTCCTTTTCTAAGGCCCTGTGAGACATCCCTTTGCCACCCAACACTCAGATTCCCTAGCTGCTCTGAGTACACTGGCGGAGAAACCATCTGGGTGTACGTCATCTCAGAAATTGCCTGTCAAAGAAAGTAAACAAGAGCAGTTGCCTCTTTGACAGAGGGAATGTTTGTGTTTGGAGAAGGTTAATGGCCTATGAGGTAGGAAGGGAATTGGCAGCAAGTTCCACAGCAGTCCAACCTGCATTCACTGTTTGGCTCAGTCTCACATAGATAATGAGAGTCAATGTGGTATAGTGGTTAAAGTGTTGGACTGGCATCAGGGAGACCCAGATTCAGGTTCACCAGGGAACGTCACAAGCTGACTTTGGGCCAGCCCTCTCCTTCAGCCTAAAACCTATCAGTTTTTGTTATGGGGATAAATTGAAGGGAAATCTCCATGTAAGCTGCCTTGAGCTCCTGGAGAAAAAGCAGAATAGAAATATGAAGAAAATAGTGTTGTTGTTGTTGTCGTCATCCTCATTATTAACCATTACTAGGAGAATTGAACAATAACACTTAGTAGGATATATCAGAAAAAGATTAGCCATAAATGGAAGGGATCATGGGAAATTCCAAACCATATACCAGGTATTTAAATGGTAATTCTGCATTACTTTTGTTACTTTTCTACTTTTGAATGACTCTACCATAATATATATTCTTTCTCCCTATTACAAATATTATGTTTTTATTATATTCAAAGCATATGCAAAAGTTTCTCTTCTTTCCCGCAGATTACCCGTTGGAGGGAAAGTTGTGAACACAACACCAGTGCCAGGACAGACCCAGCATGAGGAGATTGATCACAAAACAGAGCCCCGTTCATCTGTCTCAGACCTTGTAAATTCCCTTACTAGTGAGATGCTGATGGTAAGCGTTGATAGTTATCCCATGGTTTATGGGATATACAATATATATTTGTGCGTGGTTTGGAGAAGGAAAGGCCTCTGTGTCCACATTCCTTTACCTCTTTTCCTCCATTGATACCTTGTTTCCCCACCCCATGGTTCCTGTAACCATCAAGTTAAACATGACATATTTTCAAACTCCAAAAGAAAGACCAGAATATTTCAAGATCACCAAATCGTGTGAGATTTCAGTGAGCTCATATGAAATCTTACAAAATGTTGCAATTCATGCAAGATTTACCTTAAAAACTCACATTGAGATTACCAAAATCTTGTGAGATTTAGCATCCCAGCAACACTTGGAGCAACGTTGCAGGAGTTAGTCATCATGCAAGCTAGCACAACATTGTTATGGACCTGAAAAGGTTGTCAGAGTCAGTTTAAATACTGACACTCCCAAAACAATAGCCATGTATTCTCCCCATGAAAGTAACTACATAAACTGTCTATAGTGGGTCAGTCATAAATTCATCTTTGAGAATCTGGCTCTTTCTCTGTACCCCCTGTTTCCACTGTGAGCATCTTTCAACTCTGGCATGATGAAGAGATTATATCTTCATGTCCTCATTGAGCCTTTCCCCATTGTATATAACCATGGCATAGACATCTCCATTCTCTTTTCTGCTCCATCCTCATTTCATCTGAGGTAGCCTTAACTAATCCTCAGCTGCTGTATTGTTAAAGGACGTGTTCCCCCCCACCCACCCACTTAAGCAGCCAACAACCCTGGCACTTTACTGTGGGTCACTCTAATGCACTGACCATTCTATTAGGGGCTTTTCCCCCTCTATATTATTACATTTTATAGCAAGGTTGCAGAAATAAACAGAATACAAAAATACAAAAGGTAAACAGTGAAACAAACAATAAAACACCATGAAGAATTAATGAACTACAAAAAAAAACCCTAAACAGAACAAAGAATAGAAAAAAGAAAAGAACTCCAAAATTAAAGAGCCCACAGAAAAAAAATTAAAATCCAATACTAAACATCTAATTAATCTATATTAAACACTGTTTAATAAGAGGAAAGGCAGGGGCAGTAAAGTGGCCCATAAGTGCTAGGATGGACAGGATCACTGGCAGTTCTGTTGGGGGCCCAGTGAGGTGATGCTATCCATCCTAGACTTATGGGCCACTTTACTGCCCCTCCCTTTCCCGTTATTGGCTACTGTCCTCCAGAGCTATTCTGATCTGGGCAGTGGGAAAGAACAGTTCTTTCAAACAGAGCTCTCCCCTTTTACCAGGTCTCCAAGCCAGTCCTTGAATCAACCAAATAGCGGTTGATCAGCAGTAGCACTGGGGGTCTGCATAGCGAAATGAGACAGTATGGGAGAGAGTGTTCTTTTCCTGTCAGTTCATGATGCAACCTCCCATAAACGCATATTTCAACTCTGGCATGATGAAGAGATTATATTTATACACATACCCACCCCCACGTGCTTGTCAGCTATTCTTCAGGCTGCTTTTGAACATGGGTTCAAAAAACTCTCTTCCAGAGAGTCAGCTGAGCAAGGGTGTGCAAGCTGACTTTCCCTCTTGCCTCACTGTTGCAACCCCACTACCACCATGGCTGATCAACTGCTAAGGGTTTGGCATTCTGTTTCAAAATAGCCTGACTTAGCAGGTGAGAGATACATGGAAGTGTTGGTTGGGGCAGTGGAAGAGGCCCCTTCCCTTTCCTCTGCCCAGACTCCACCTGTATCACCTGTCAGTTGCAATACTTTTGAACATGAGTTTAATACTCTGAAATAGTGACAAACTCGTGTTTATAAGTAACCCAGCTAATAGCACAGACAGTCAAGGGATTGCACACTGCCATGGTGTAGCAAGGTAGCTCCCTTCCACTTTTCCACACAGGCCCCCAGGTCACCTGTCTCCAATCTGGTTTGAATTTTGATGGATGGCTAAACCCACCAGTCTAACCATCTATCAAAACTCATCTCCTCCCCAGTCTCATCCCATGTTGAGGAGAGTGTTGGGTGGATTTTTTCTCATCAACAAGTGATGTTTAGTGGGAGGGAAGGGAAACAAAGCCAGGAGAATCTGCCAGCCCCTTTCTTTAACATGTCCTGCACACAATAAATGAAGACACCACCATTTGCCAGTCACAAGCCTAAAGCAAAACAGGGATTGGCTACAGGGGCAGCAATTCTCATGCTGCTGATATAATTTTCTGCTGGCTCAGGGATGGGTGAATAACATTTTAAATGAACCATGAGGAAGAGCCCATTAATTTGATCCTGTTTGCTAGGAATTGATTAACAAGGTAGCCTAAACAGAGCACAGCAGGCAAAGAACTGGCTTCTGGAGCCATTAAATGACACACCCAATGATTTAATGGAGCTGCTGGAAGAGGAAAGGGAGCCCAAGGCAAGAAACTGGGACCAGGGTCTCATGATTGACAGGGAACCTTCACTTATGTCATTTCTCTTAATAAATCCAACAGGATGCAAGAGAGATACATATGACCTATGGCAAGTTTAAATGAAGTAATATATCTATATGAGGATTGTAATATGTTAAACAATATATTAATATGTTGCTAACCTGCTTTAAATATCTTTTTTTTTTTGTCACATTAGCCCTTTGGAGATATATATCTCTCTCAATAATCAGGAGTTAGAAAAAGGTGCCATTATTGTATTATTTTTATCTCTTCCTGATGATAGTGTTTTGTTAGACTAAAAATGGAAGAGCCTGTATTGTGTTTGGTTTGTACATAAGGAAAAAAGCTAACAGAGCAATTCTGTACTGGATTTATAACAGGTAAGGGGATCGTAGAATTTGGCAGAACTCCTGCCTCTCCTACTGGAACCTGAGGAACATCAGTAGCACAGAAGGTACACTGTCAGATCATTGCAGAGCAGCCTTCCACAACTTGGTGTCCTTCTGGGAAATTGAAAATTATGGGAGTTGTAGTCCTACACATCTTGGAGATAGCAGTCTCAAACTCACAATCTGAATACAAGGATATATGCTAGAGGCTTCCATTTCACATCCTTAGTTCATAGTTTCCTTTCTTGCAAGGATGGCATGTCAGCATAGCTCCAACACTGTTCCTCATTGTTGAGTTTTGGTAGGTACTTGGAGCTGGTTACTTCTTCCTTCCTGGTCTAAGCAGGCAGGGCAGGATGTATTTTGCTAGTGCAGCAGCTTATTGGGCAAGAGTGGTTACTGAGATTCCTATATACTACCTCCAGAGTCAGAGGTAACATGCCTCTGGAGACCACCAACAATTGATTTTTCGATTTCCTAGAGATGTCTCTTTGGGTATTATAGAAAATGAAATACTTTGCTCTGGTTCAGTATATTTTTTCTTAGTTCTTTATGAGATCCTTTTCTCTAGAGGGGCTGACATTCTATTTGTGATCAAATCAGAAAATGCCATTGATCCATATTTTCTTCGTTATGGGAAGATCCTGATGATGAGACTTCTATGCAAATACTTTAAATTTGGCACATGTATAACAACTATTATAAGCTGATTGACATGCCATTTCCTTAATTATACCATTCCTATAACACGAATCAAAGGGTACGTAGGTGTCAATTACAGACTGGGGGGTGGACATGCAAACTGAACAGATCAAGCTATGAATCATGATGTGAGAATGTTACATGTGTGATCTGAGATTGGAAATGTGACCTTACCTGATATAGCAAATTTCTAACATAAAGCTGATCTACACATTCAGAATGATCACATGCCATTTACTTTGTGTTTGTGAATGATCTCACCAACGATCAAGCAAAGTGAATAGGACATTCGTATCTTCCCTATTGCAATGCAGTGAAATCAGTTCACGCATTCATCTGCAAATCTGCTTGTTTAGTTATCAGGTGATATCCATTTGTGAAACAGCTTTGAGAACCAGGTGAATCCAGAAGACTTATAAATGCAATGGAGGTCTATTACACAAAGTCAAAGACTGTAGCTATCTTTTTATTGCTTGTACTGCTTTTCCTCAATTAGGATTGAGAAGTTGTGGAAAATTTGTCTTCATGAGAGTTATCAGCTGACACCTCCAACATTTTTTAATCAGGCTGAAGAAATAGCTAGATCTCCCTCACATAAAACACGGGCAATGTATGTCATGTGCTCCCCTCTTGTGGTGGAACTGGGAAGAGCAGTCCTAGAAGTCAGGTAATCTTGGTTAGAGGGGAGAAATGGAAACAAGGGGACCTGGTGATGTCTGACTGAATATCCATATTCTGAAGAACTGTTTCATAACATGGAGCGCAAGACAGTGTCAATGATCTTATTCATTTCAAGCCTTAAAAAAAAAAAAAGAATGAGAAAGAATGCACCTTTGAAAAGTGATCACATCAGAATTCATACTTCGTGAAACTGCACCAGAATTGTAATCTACGGTATCAGTCCAAAGGCCTCCTAAAGGCCCGTTGAGAGAAGCAAGGTATAAACAGTTGAGAAAGAAGATTTGGGGCCAAGCTTTCAAATACTAGGAAGTAACTTTTGGGGGTTATGTTTCCTGGTTTAAAGAAGTATTCTGCACTGCTTCTTCTAACAGTATTAATAAGGACTGAATGCACAAGAACTGAAATTCAGTTATACAAATGCTCATATCAGGGATGTGTGCACCATAATGCATTTAGTAGTGAAAAAAGTATACAACATAGGAGTAAAATGGTGGACAAAATTGTATATATTGGAATAAATGGATAACAGAAATACATCCACATTAAAAAAAACAAAGCTGAAGTTTTCCAGACTACCTTCAGGCAATCAAGATATTGCCATGAAAAAGTCTGTAGATCTAACTCATTTTACTGCCATTAGAGATTTGCAAGATGCTATTTAATGGTCTCCTATGCATTTCAACAGGCTCCCTACATGGCTTTCTCCTGCATTAACCTGTTTCTAAGAGCTTTGACATGTCTTTTTATAAAGTAGCCTGAGTGAAATGTCTTAGTTCTAAAGCCTCCGCCCACAATCTGTTC